CCCGGGTACCCCGGGCGTCAGACCCCCACGGGCATCACGCCCGGGTGCCCGGCCGGGCAGGACCGGCCGGACGTGAGAATCTTCCTAGAGAGAAAGAGTAAACTCAGTAAAGGATATGGGTTTAACCTGGATTGATGAACATACTGCTGGGGACAAGACTTGAACCTTTTAAAATAAGGGAGGGCTACCGGTTTTAGAATGGCTTTAAAACCAGAGGGCGGTGTAAAGAGAATGAGGGTGAAATGTGAGGTTTGAAAAGCCTGGATTAGAAGTGGGGGAAGGGCAAGAGGTAAGAGGTGATAGCAAAGACAAAGGAGACAGGAGTAAGAATTAGATGAGACTTAAGCATGTTCACCTAAAATATTAAACTAGCCCTATCCCTAGAGCTTTCACACACCAAATGGAGGACCCTCAAGGGATAGGGTTATCAGATCACCCCAAAAGATTTAAACCCACAACTGAAAAGGACATTTTAAAAGAAAGTAAGAATCAACCGGAACTCACCTCATGGAATGTAAATGGACTCGCCTCCATTCTAGACAAACCCGGTCAAATGGAGAAACATAACAGAATCCAGAGGCTGGTTCGGCTCCAATCCACCAGACATAATTTGCTTTCAAGAAACTCATCTGAAGTTAAAATTCGTTAAAACTGCGATTGAACAAAAGTTAGACTTGCTATTGAACAAAAGTTAAAATTCGTTAAAACAGCACAGAACACAACAAAATTAGACTTGCTATTGAACAAAAGTTAAAATTCGTTAAAACTGCGATATGGTCACACGCAACTCCCAATGGATCTGCAGGTACAGTCATCCTTCTCCACCAAAACTCCCCAGCTAATCACAACATCAGAATCGACAACTATAGTCAAGACAATGCTACAGGTAGGTGGGTAAAGTTAGATATCACATTCGTTAAAACTGCGATATGGTCACACGCAACTCCCAATGGGCTCTACGGGCCAACCGCTTACCAGGACGAAAGACCCTTCCTGCGGTCAATAGAACGCTTAATCCCCAACTACACACATACAATCATCATGGGAGACGGGAACCTAAACCAGAACCATTCTGTGGACAGAATTTCCAACTCAATTGACAACTCCCAGGCGTTGCTCAGCCAGGAGTTGTCTGATTTCATTCGCAGGAAAAACCTACTAGATCCTTTTCGCCTACTCTACCCGAACATCAAAAGATTTACATGCATAAGGAGGACCTCAAATAGCAGAACCTCCTTTTCTAGGATAGACTTCTTCCTCACATCTGAGTCCAATCGGGTGCCATAATAGACTGATATTGGAAGCTCTCCCTACCACACAGGCCTAGACCATAAGGTCATCAATCTCACGCTCAGATTCACCAGTCCGGCCTCACTGGTAAGAGCTTTTACAGATTCAATAATGCCCTGCTCACTAGCCAACCCTTCATAACTGAACTCAGAAACATCCTCTCCAATACCGCCCACCAATACCAAAGTGAGGACCTCTTCACCTCATTTCCGAAAATTATCAGCAAAATAAAAAGTATCAATAATATCAAGAAAGCTTGCAGCACGAAGAAAGGAAAGACTAGAGATGTTGAAAGATGTAATCGAAATAGCAGAATTTAACTTACAACCATACTTGCGGCGCACGTGTGCGCTGTGCGCTGGATCAGCAGACAGCGCACTGTGCGCCATGTGCGCCGGAATTAAAAAAAAAAAAAAAAACAATATACCTACCCCCC